TGCCGTATATCATTCCTTGAAAGAAGCCACCAGAAACACATGATCATAACAATGCGATATGGAAGTTCCAGAATTCTTGCTGTTGAAGTCTTGTTTCTAGCCGGCGTTTCTTTCGTCGACATTTCGTTAAATGATCATGACGCAGTCAGAGAAAATGGTGAGAAAATGTTTTCTTGATTTAAAAAAATCATCGTTTTTGTCGCCCTTTTAATATGTAATCAGCGAAAGTTCTTCTGAATGTTCGCATTCCTTGTTTTCAGGTGGCTGACATAGGGGACGCAAGTGGTGTGACGCAGCAACCACGATCACCGAAAGTTCGTAGTTTTCCTTCTTTTGATCTTAAGGTGGGTGGTTTTGCATAGAATATACCTCTCTTTTAGCGCCATATATCTTGTGGCTTGTTCTAATTTTGTGTTTAGGGACTACACATCATGAAAGTACAATACGACGTAAAAATGCACGGATTGTGCTGAGTAATCACAGTTTATAAGCGTGCAGTTCGCACCAAATCTCATATGCAAGATCACTTTTTATATTAACTATCGATCGAATTTGGCCTTATTTCGAGGCAGAAACTTTTTCTAAGCGATAGTTTGTGCCAATATAGGTCTATTTTTTTTAAAAAAATCGTGCTCTCATTGTGCTCTTAACACGCATCAAAATATCCCTCTGTTGTAGTAGTAATTTTATCATTTTACTATCAGGAAATTAAATGTGACGTCATTGGTTTATATTGTAAAAGATTGACAGATACTCTCTGATTGCTTACCATTTGTTTGAATAATCTGGTTGGATGACTGTTTGATAACGTGAGGGTTTAATAAGATGTGTTTTAAGGATTTTTAGAAATCGACAAACTGAGAGGAAGCCATTGAGATGGTGCTTACTATTTGGAATTTGATTTCCTGTATTTATTGTTTTCTGTTGATGAGAGACTAGAAACTGGGGATTTCAGCCAATGGCTAGGAAATTTTCTGGCATTCCATTCAGAAATGGTAAAAGAGGAGTACTTGAGGAGGTAGTCTACAATTTGCAAACTGTTTTTCCACAACAGAACTGTTTCATAATACATGTATATTGTGTAGTTTCAGAAAATATCCATGCCTCCCCCACGGAAGGGATTTTTTCCAAGACCCCAACCCCTCTGGAAATTCCAATAAAAGCTTCACACGTTTCTTTAAATTGTTTGGTCTTACAGAACCCCCCCCCCCCCCCC